CTTCCCATTCTCTGTCAATCCCCTGTCTCTGCCCAGGGGTGGACCCTCCAGTGAGGCTGTCCATTGATTCCCTAGGTGGACAAAGTAATGCCAGGCTCACAAGGGCCTGCACACATCAGTGGGCTGTTGGCAACACGACAATGGAGCATCCCATCCTGTATCCCCCTCCTCCCCACTTACACACACCTTAAACCTTCCTGCATGATGGGACCTGGGCAGAACTGTGGGTAGTTATAAGGAAAGCAGAGGAAGACATTCACAGACCAAACACTGAGACCCTTATTGAAAAGGGATAAAAACTGGACCAAAACAGCAAGAAGAAAGCCTCACGAGGAGGTTTTGCGGGAGTTGCTAAGAGGGCCTTGCTAAGAGGGCCAGGATAGTGGAGCCTGCAGTTATCTACTGATTGAGGGCTGCTTTGCTCTTCTACAGAAACAAAGCCTTCTCAGGCTGCGACTCTCAGTGGGAGAGACTCAGTGGGGCCTTGTATAAGGGAGCTTATAACTTGTCAAAAGGAGTGATCAACTATGCCTCAACTCTTCTTTGGATCAAGGGTCTGGGGAATCTGTACATGGAAGTGGGGGGCAGGGAGTCAGGTTCACAAGGCCAGTTGGAATGCCCAAGTAATTGCACGTGGGTCCCATGTGCTCCATGCACCTGGGCTGGTGGGGACTGATGGTCAAGGCCTGGACACAGCTGCCCCTCCTAGCCGAGCCCCTCTCCCTGTGTGTTTTCGTGTGTGTGTGTGGGGGGGGGGGTCCTGAGGGAATCTACCATAGCCAGAGCAAAGCCTGTTTGAATGGTTTCCTCGGTATTGCCTGCCCCTGAGACCCAAGGACACATGTGCCCGGGCATAGTCTGTCCCATCAAGGGGGTTAAGGGCCAAAGGAGAGGAGTAAGGGACAAAGTGTGTGGGGGGGGGGGGAAGGGAGAAGGGATGTGTATCGAACATAAGGATAGAGATATATGAAGGGATGGAGAAGAGGGTTGAGCATAGAGCCACAGAGGAATGGGACTTGACTCAGGAAAGACTGGAAGGGCCAAGGACCACGACTAATAAAGAAGGGACCCGAGGGGCAAAGTATAGGGACAGAACTAGACAGGATGACTAAGCCTATGAGGGGACCTAGAGGAAGTGGGAGGACAGAGAGAGTTGGGGGTGGGGACAATGTCCAGAAGAAGGCAGCAAACAGAGGTGGGGGGGGGCGTTGAGCCTGCCTGAGCCCCGAGGGTCCGTCTGGTAATTAGACCTTGTTCCAGATGAACCCCCCACTCCCGTCCAGCAATCAAAATGTTAATTGGCCTGACGCCTCCGGCTGCGCCTCAGCCGGTCCCCTCTGGGAAGTAGCCGGGACTAGTGGCGTGGCTGGCGGGGGAACCCTCGCCCCCCACCCCCCACTGCGATCTTCGCCGGCTGCTGCTCAGCGATAAGGGGGAGGCCGCACCCGCCCTGCCCCTCGGGAGCGCCTGCCACGCAAGATGAATGTCCGGCCGCTGAGGAGCTGGGCCGCTAGCATAAAGCAGGCGAGTGGTCTCCACACTCAGTGTGGGGCAGGTAGCTCACACCCACCGTGGCCGGACGCGAGGCAGTGGATGCAGGTCGCAGCCAAGCACGCAGAAGGGGAAGCTGAGCTCAGCACTGCAGCGCTGCCCTGGCTTCTGCACCAGACGGGGCCAGTCCGTATAAGGTCACCGCGCTGCAATCCCATCTTGCGGCTCCGAGACCATAGTCGCTAGTCCGAGCAGGCTGTGTGGGGAGAGCTCAGTTCAGAGACCCCAACGCGAGGAGGGGGCGATGAAGGGACAATGGCGGCGCCCGGCCCTAATTGGGGACATATGCACCCGCGCGCAGCCATTGTGAGGCCCCCAACCCCCAGTGCCCCGCCATTGGTCATTGGGTCTGACGTCATGGGGGCTGCAAACTCCGGGCGGGCGGCCACGGGAAGGGTTATTCGCCTGGTTGCGGGTCGCCTAGGGAAGCTGTAGAGGCGCGGAAGGGCGGAAACCACCAATGGAGCGGAATTTCTGGAACAGGGGCATGGCAGTCCCTCTCACCATGCACACTCAGCTTGCTACGACGCTACTGTGCTGGACATCCGTCCCGCGGGAGAGGCGGGGGCAGAGAGGTCCCTCCAGCGGGCACAGGGTCAGCCGAGGTGACAGAGTGGCAAAAGGCACTGCGGCACAGGGCGCACACAGGTTTCCACACTGCGTTTTCGCTGCCTCAGCATTCACTCCTTTGGTCTCCCGCCTCTCCCCGCCTCCGCACATCCCGCGCCTAACCTCCAGACCTCATACGAGGCAGCGTGTACCCGGCTGAGGTCCGCTTGTGTTCTCCCCAAAAGAATCAGAGTCTGGGGTGCGTGAGTGTCAGGCCCATTCCCACCTCTCTCCACACGCCCGACTATGCCACCAAGTATCAGGTCGCCATTCCCCGAGCTGCACGGGGGAACTCCGCACAAGTCGAGGCGAGGCATCCCCAGGACCCCTCCCAGGAGACCCTGGCCCGGCCCAGCCCGGCGCTGCCATTTCCGCCGGCCTTTTCCCCTCCCCGCCCACCCCCTCCCCCAGCGCTTGGCTTTAAAAGCCAGAGGCTGCGCTCGGCGGCAGGCAGAAGAGGCTTGCAGGCTCAGGAGGCCTGCCCCGGAGCTGTCCGAGAGCGGAGCCCCGCCCCCGGACCCCCGTCCCTCCCTCTCTCCTTCCCTCCCTCGGCCCGCCCTCCCTGAGTACCCCTCCCCCTGAGGACCCCCGCCCGCCGCCCGCCGCTGCCGCCGCCGCCCGCTCCGACTGCAGAACAATAAAGCCAGCCTCCCAGAGACCCCCGCCGAGGACCCCCGCCCGGCGACCAAGCCCGGGTGGCCCGCCCCTCTTCGCCAGCGCCAGCTG